TTAATAGTCCCCAGATTGCTCAACCAGAAATGTACACGAAAGGCCGGATGTGAGAGTGTTTCCAGAGGAATGTGGCACACATTTGCGTATGAAGCCACAAGCCACTTCTTCAGCTCGGGAGTGCGCTTGACGGTGTAACAATTACATTGGAGACGCTTCCTGATTCCAACCCTCCGCGCCTCACGAGCGGGTCTAGGCCCAGCTCCAGCCTTCACCCTGCAGGCGTTCCGATGGCTGGCGGATTCGAGATGTCGTCGCATAGCAGTAGTGCTACTGTGCGCGTAGGAAACGTACTTCTCCCTGCAGGTCTTACATTTCGCCTTTCCGTTCTCCGGCTCCTCGAATTGATTTCTTACTTTTCGCCCTTGAGAGAGAAAAATGAGGAGTTCAGATGACTGTCGCGCTATCAGAAGCCGGTATAGCCAAAGATGTGGAGGCTCAATCGCGAGAGCCCGACGTCGATGGAGCTGGGGCACGGGGGCCCAATGACTTGGTTTCGAAAGCGAGGTAAATATCCACAGGCGCGGATCTCACTCCGGCAGTAATCCGGCAAGCCGAGTGGCAGAAATGAAGAACTTTCGAGCCAACTCTGGATCTCAAGCGCGTCAAAAGTCTCTACCTCCTGGTACGCCAGCTGCTGACGGGGGATCGATACCTAAGCAAGCGTTGACTAAAGTCACTGCCGAGCACAAACGGATGAATTTCCTGGCCAGGGGATTCCAATTGTGCCCAAGACTTTCCTGGCTCTCTCCATCTTGCCTCTGATGTGACATGCCATGTTTTAGATATGACAGCCACGAGCGTGAGTCGTGGAGGTTAGAAACGTGGATTCTGAATCTGAAATACTTACTCTTCGCCTGTCTGGATGCTTCCTCGTCTTCGGAATCATCTTCCCAATCAGAGGAACGGAGCTCGTCGCCCTCTGAAAAATTTTCCAGAAGAGCCTGCTCACTTCCCGTCGATCGATAATATCTTTATGGATAAAGGTCTCGCGTCTTGCTGTGGGCAGACCAACGTGCTCCGTAGGAGAACTCGAAAATCATGTGGCGGTACTACAATTTCGTAGGAATTTCAGCGTAGAAAATCGCCAGGGCATGCAGAAAAAACCGGAAAGCTCGGCTCGGATTGCCGAGCCGTGACAACGTCCCAAATGACAATGCCCTCGGGCTCCATGAGACATGAGGGTTCGCATGAGCTTTGAGCGTCGCGATTCGTTATGACTCATAAGTTGTGACATTGGAACCTACTTCGAGGCTGTCTCCGCCGCGGACGTTTTCCTGGGTTGAGCGACTCAGAAGAATACCTCGATATGTTAAGTTCAGGCTCTGAAAAGTTTCAGTGATAACCCGCTCATCACCTCCTACCGCACCGCCATGAATTCGACATGCCGAGCAAGGGCGGTGTGATGATGATGCGGGAATATCATGAATCATGATTGCGCGACCAGAATGGAAATGGAACCCACCTGAATTTCCGGAGAGATGCACGTCGCCTCCTTCAAAAGGAGCAGAAGTCTCCGCTGATGCCTGAGGTTCGATCTCTGAAAAGTTCGAATATTATTCCACATCCCAGATATGCGATTTCGGGGTCTCTATTGCCGGACTTCTTGACCAATGACCGAATACAGGGCTCCCCGTTTCGCCTTGCCCCGCGGAACCGCATCTCGTCCGGGGGATTCGAACTAGCGACCTCCCGCACGAGGATACGTCGTTTCACCGAGTGGAGGTTGCCGTTCCACGGAGTGAATTGCTGATCTGCATATGATTTGTAGACCGCCCTGCGCACTCGGCTACCCGACGGCCGGAATAAACTACCTGGATACGTCCTAGCGTTTTGGATGATGTTGCTTGACGCGAACCGAGCAGTCGTGTGCGCTATTCGGGAACTCGGGGACGACCTCAAAATTGACGGCTCAAAATTCCTCGCGGAAATATTTCTTGACGGGAGGAATTTTCTGAAGATTCCTTCCGCGGAAGCTTCGGTCACGAGATTACTCCTCGTCGGACTGCCGTGGAATCACCGTTGAAAAACTTATCCAACAACTAAGGACTTACATCATTGATGACGAATCATGATCATGCCCTTTGCCTATCTCAATTTCGTGGTGAGACCGAAACCCATGCTTACCCTGTCCTCGATGCCGAGAGGAATACGAATTGCGTCCTTCAGAAGTTTCAGAAGCGGTCTCCGTTTCCGTCGATGCCGGAGATTCGACCTCTGGGAAGTTCGCATTGTACTATCAATTTCAATTATCAGAGCTTGGAAGTTCAGGCATTTATAACCTCCATCACTTCTTCTTTTTTTTTTGCGCACATAGATTGATGGAACGATAGATTAATGATCATTGAATTTTCGGTTTCTCTCGGTCCCCGAACAGAATCGATCGTTGCACCCCTCAATTTCACCATCTAATAATGAATTGATTGAGCGTGATTAATGATGAATGCCTGAACTTCCATCATGATAAATGAGATGAAGGTTTCATCCATTCAAAACTCTTGGCTTGCGCGTTCCTGACTTGCTGACCGGTGAGCGTCAACTGAAACCCCGGTCCCGAGCTTGCGGCTCGGAGCAAGGACAAGGATCGCGGAATGTTACCTACCGGAAACATTTCGGGTAGACTCAAACACCCGAGCGCGAAAATCTTGATCTTCCTTATCACTCTCGGATTCGATTCCCGCTCCGCTGGCGCGATGCTTCGGGAACTCTCTTTCAATACCGTTTCCGAACCCCCAATCTTCATCGCGGAGACCTCCATCGTCCATTTCGCGGCTGGAATAGGAATGAGTTTAGGAATCAGATTGCTCGTTCCTCGTTCTTAACCCGAGACTTTGAAATTCGGATTCCGGATGAAAGGGAGTCGACCGACCCTGGGACCAGTGACTCACCCACCACGGGGCTGGTGGAGCTCCAGCATCTACAAACTTTTCTGTTCTTGATTCTTGCTGGAGTACCAAGCGCGGATGACTACTCTACATTCTCAGCCCCGTGGAAAATCGGATCTGGCCCCTACCTAGAAGCAGTCTCCGATACGCCCCTGTCTTAAATTGCTTTGCGCGATCCCTTGCAAGTTGCAAGTATTAGGCTGTCGGGCAAAACCCGACAGGATTGTGGAGCACCCTTGGATGGGATCGCAGGCCGCGGGTTCTTCGTTGACGGCAGGACCAAGCCTATCTCTAGCAGTTCTAGGACGGAGGATACTATTGAACTCACCCTCCTTCAATTTCGGATCAACCTAATGGATGAGGCAGCTAGTCACGAGTCACGAATTACGATTTCCACGCCACGAGACACGAGACACGACCTCAGTCAGTCAGCCTGTGAGCTAGCCAGCATCAATCGCGAACTTCGTTCTCCCGATGTCCCGATGCGGTTAAAGGATAAAAAACGAACGTGGCGGGAGCTCGATCCTCCATCTCCGCAGTCTCCGCATCACTGCATCACCGTTTCTATGGCATTGGCTATTGGCTCTGCTCTGAGCTCTGAGCTCTGGATATTGTGCATTGTGCGGGATCGCAGAAGGGATTACGGACAGAAACTCGAAAAAAGTGCGTCTCGCAACAAGTCGCAAGTCGCCGTAACTTGTTCCTGCGTTGTCGCGGAGACGATCTGAGGATCTGAGTCTGAGGGGGCCGCGTACTCTTCCAATCGCGATTAACAGGAGCCGGATCTCGGAGGATCTCGTGCGATCCATCGTGGTTGGGCATCTTGGGCAACGTACGTACCATGTGAGATGTGACGTCCCTTCACGATACCCGGTCGATGCGATTGCATGACGAATACCCCGCTCAATAGAGATATATCCAGGTTGTAAGAAGTCCTGGGGCTGTAGGGTGATAACCGCTTCACTCGTCACTCGTCTTTCTTGCTTCGACGAGCTATTCCGCTGAAAGAGCGTTTAAGAACCGGTCGAGTCGAAACTACAATCAGGCGGCCCTCGATGATGTACGTTTCGATGACGTACGAGGGAATGGTTTGGTGGTTCCTATATGGTTCCTACGAGAAAAGCAAGCCGCGGGACGCTTTTACGCGGGAACTTCATCTCAATTCGAGGTTTGTGGAAGGTGCGATCGAAACGTGTTCTGATATGTGATTTGTGAATGAAAATGATTGAGATCCCCCTGAATTTTATTCTCTCCGGATTAGATATCTTTGTATAAGACTAGACCTGTCTGCGAGTGCAGTCTCGCCTTCGCTAAAGCACTGCAACTCATGCAATCTGACATCCTGCGATGAAGAAAGTCGAGATCACGAGACGAGACCAGACGGGAACCTTGAGCTAACTCCTCGTTCGTTTTTCAGGCTTTCAATTGATCAATCGACCCGAATAGAGAGTCGGATAGAACCCTGATAGAATGGACCATACGTCCCCTTTGAGCAGGAACAAATAGGATTCCACCATCGTACGGCTGCGGAAACATCTCGATGGCATGGCAAAAAATGAGCTTTGAGATGGCGCATCGAAATTTTGAGCCGCAAAATTGAAGCTTACACCCCTTTCCCTCCCAAAAAAAAAAGTGTGGACTGTGGACAGGCCTTGGGATCAAAGATGATTTTTTTATTTCAATAATCGAAAGCCAAGTTCATGTTGTCTAGCTGTCACCATCCGATTGGGTCATCTCGAAGGAGATCTCCTGGCCTCGGGGAGAGTCCCGTGCTATGCATCATCCATTGCGGGGCCCGACGTTCCCGGAAGCATCGCGCAGAACTCGGAGATCGCCGTTTTATGGTGTTTCGCGAGAGGGCCCGATCCTGCGGAATTCACCGCATTCCTTTGCGAACCTAAAGAGTCCATCGCGATCCCATGAATCGCAAAGCAACAAGAGACTACAGAATAGGGAGACCCAGAAACGAGCTGAGAGGGCGATCGAACTTGAGTCTTGCTCCAGACATAGATCACAGTCATCAACGTCTCCATTTACCGATCTCTCAATGAGGGTCTCTCTCACGGACTCGTCTCTCGCACAAATGAAACCCTCAATATTTATACCGATGGGAGCTTCTCCCTAGCGTTCTTTAGGAACGGCTCCTCCATTGTATGACATACGTTTCCGGAACGGTATTTATTAGCACGCATTCTTCCGTTTTCGAAAGAGCCGTTCTTTCGTTGTCGCGTACATCGGCGGGAGACGTCTACACTGGAGTTCTATTCGAAGAATCGACGATCTCTTCTTCAGCACGATGATTCTTGCACGGCGCATTTCTGTCGGAAATGATTCCTCGTCTCTTCAACCGAAGAACTGTGGGATTTCTCCATGAGTCGTAATTTCTCTGCTAGATTCAAGCGACTTCACTATAATACCAAATAGAACCTGATGCTTTCGGTGTTCGCGAATCGATCATGAGCGCAGAAAAGCCAACGGAGTCTCTGGGGATCGAAGCTGTCGCTCGCTTCCTGCTGAATGAGAAACTATTCCTGACTGCTCTCGAGCTCTATTCAGAAAGTTTCCACAAAGGGAATGAAGTTCCTTTGCTCCGGAGCTTCTTCAACAACCCAGGTGAGTTCTCAGAGGAGGCGCTTATGAAATCATGTAGCGTCGATGAAAGCTTCTCTAGAACAGTACCGACTCCGAAAATTCGATCATAGGCAATTTCGAACAACTGCAAGTGTCCGAGCCCTTTACGCCTTTACCGCGGACTTCGTCTGTTCAAACGTTAGAGAGTCTGGACCTGACCCGCTTTTCGGAAGATGGTGAAGGATTGCTCTCAGAAAAAGTGAGTTTTCACGGGGTTCGTGCTATCTCAGTAAAAGGATGCCGGAGCATCGCTGATGAGTTCCTTTTTTGCTCATTCCAGGTCGCGGTTCTCGAGTTCGAGCTTAGGAAAGCAAGAGACGCGATACGCAGTTTGCGCAACAATCTCACAGTCGTTACGGAGAGCACACCGGACGCAGTCGTGCCGAATGGTAAGATACTTTATCCTCATCCATAGCTTTACCATCTGTAGAATCGTATTTTCCTGAATCGATACTCCGTTTACGCTCGGTCGCCTCTACCGTACACAACCAGAATTGCTTTTTCAATGAAACGTCGACCGAAACCCGCGGAGAGGGGGATTATCCCGGCTCGAGAATGGAAGTTGTCCTGGTTTTCAGCCCTGAAGATCTGCGATGGTCAAGATAGAGTTATCAACGAATCCCCTTTGCTGCCTCACGAACAGAGAGCGCTTAATTATCTCGTCAACGAATACCTGCTGCAGCATAACTATAAACTCACAGCAATAACTTTCGCCGAGGAGGACGACAACCAGGACCAAGATTTCGATGACTGGGACGAGGTGAGGTTTGAGACAGCCCTGAGATTTCGGACTGTATTGACTGAGCGTCTTCAGCCGAATTACGGATCAAGTGGGATCTTCCAGGTTGGCTTGAACATCTCGAAGCCACCAAATCTCGGTCATCTATACCGGAACTATTGCCGATGGAACTCGTCTTCAAGAAAGACTTCAGTCTCCGGCACTTCGACCAATGAAGAGTTGAGAGCCGAGACGATTCTCGCAGATCTGCCGGACATCGTGGGACACGTGTCTTAAGCCAGAGACTCCGTGTCTACTTCAAGGTCGGGGAGTTCCCTTAGAACCCGCGGCCAACACAGTAGGAACTCCCCATGTGCTCTGGATAACCGAAACTAACTACTGGGCTTAGCTTCGTCGGAAGGGGGAGAAGCTACCTGAAGACAGCCTCGTACGTGAAGAACGGTACCTGTTTCTGCGTGAGCAGAGCTTCTGAGAAGAGCGAATCGATGTGAACTAAGCAGGAAAAGCTTCATAGCAGAGGTCTCTTCACCAGTCTTAATTTAGAAGGATACCTCGGGAACTATCTGATGTATATAGAATTGTCCATCTGTGATCACCCCAGGAGAGAATTCCTCAATAAATAAAAAGAGCCCGAGTTCTCTTGAAAGGAAACGGTTGCAATGCACCGACGGTTCCATCGACAATACGACAGTACACTCGACTGAGCGACAACCTACTACGGGGTGAGTTCAGACAGGGTCTCGGACCCGCAACGGGGTTCGGTGGCGGTTGTCTTTGAAGTCGTCCTCGACTGGCATTCCGTTTCGACTAGATAATTTCAATTCAGGTACCGAACCCCGAGAATCTGTACTCGGTGCTCACGTGAAATTATCATCAGATCCGCCTTCCTCTGCCGTCTGTGGAGCGGTGAAGTCCAAGTTCCTCGGTGAACTTGGCCGATTGGTTTTTCAGCCCTGAGCGTAGAATCTGCCGGGGAGGAACAATGCTCACCGTTTATGAAATAAGGCGCGTTCGTGCGAAAGACACGAGCCGTCGAGTCTCATTTGAAATAGCTGTCATGCAGGTCCTCATCGAAGTCCTTGACTTATGCAACAGGTCGGAAACTTACCTAAGCCAGGCGAGGCATCCAATGAGGCGCTTAGGGTCCTAGGTCGGAACGCGTCAATGGAGACCTTGTGCCTTTCGAAAGCCGCTCAACGTCATCGGAAGAAAGCTGCCGCTTCAATGGTGACCTTTCTGAGCGATTGCTTATCTGTCGGATGATGATCCAATCTATGGAAGAAGATGTTTGCATCCCTCTGGTGGCTGTTTAAGTTTCTCGAATCTGAGGAAGGAGATCGCTGTGGAGGGACACACTCGCGTATCTGGACAAGCTGAGACAGATTCTGGCAACCGAAGATGGCAGTCGGTCGAGCTATCCCTGGATCGGCGCCACCCTGCTCGTGGGTAGAGCCTGACAGTTTTGCGTGTAATCACGACGAGTCACGCGAAAGATCAGCCGGCGATGCATTGAAGCCCTTCTGAAGATTCTTCAACGCCAAGAAAGCTGTTGGCTGGCTGGAACAGATTCTTTTCAAAAACGGTTCTCTCAAAATGTATAATTAAGTCCGACGCGGTGAGCCATATCTCGAAGGAGTGAAACGGAACACAACCGCCGACTTCCGTCTTCTATATTTCCCATGATGCTTCACTTCTGAAGACAAACGGAATGAGGTGCTCTGCAATGCCGTCATAACACCACTGAAATGATGGCAAGCCCCTGAAAAAGAGCTCAGTTTAGATGGATTCAACGGTCTGACTACTTTAACGGCTGTCTGCGTCTTCAGCGAAAGTCAGTTCTCGTAAAATCAGAGAAACTGAGTTCGATCCCGACGCTTGGTGAGGGAGAATAGTTCCTTTGCTCATGAAAGAATTCATGCTTTTTTGCTCGCGATGAATAATGTCGTCGGACCTTGCGAACGATAGAGGAGAATTCGATTGCTCCCTCGGATACAAATTCGTCCTCCGCCCGAGTGCTGAGAAGGTTTCCATTCTCAACCAAATACCCATACTATCACGACGTTTCAGCCCCGAACAGACATGAGTTCCCCACAATCTTCCGTCGACAGCACCAAGTCGCGCATAACATTTTTTTACATTAACTTCACTCTGGTCGGGGAGGACCGACTCGATTCCGAGGGCTGAAGGATCAGGGGATGACCGGCCCCTATGAGCCAGCTCAAAAAAGCAAAGGAACGAAAATCGAACGGGGAAGGAAGGATGTATAGAAAGGATAAGACTGGGAGGAGCATCGGTGTCGCTTTTCATGATCTCGCTAATCGATTGACATTCTAACCCGCCTTCGCTCGTGCCCGATCGTGTCCTGACAAGTGGAGATATTGTTTCCTATCCAGACGAGTCCATCCGATCCAGACGAATGCTCCCTTAGCACCGACATAATGAAGTTCGAAGAGAACCAAAGAAAATTTGGAGAAAACAGCGTATGGCGGAGCTTCACCGAGCTGAGAAGGGAAAACGCCGAGATATCTGAGCCTACAGACGCTGAAGATACTCAACTTTACTTCGCTAGACGTCACGGGCGGTCAAACAGTGCGGGTGGTTCTGCCGCAAAAAAAATGCGAAAAACAGCTTATGGCTCGTCTCGTGGTGATGGGATCTCACGAAACTCATTAACGGGTAATGTCCAGCGAGGAGGATTCTCTTTTGAGCCGATGCAACTCAGTCGATATTCACTTCCGAGCGGCCGGAGCTTCCCGACACCCTCACGATGTTTACGATTGGATGTGTGATGAGTGATGACAAAATAAAAATAGGATTCTTTACTACTCGGCAGCGATCGGCTCCGACCCCACATCTCGGACGGGTCGTGGCACACGCTCAAGGAAGTTCTATGAGCGTACAGCTGCCCGCCGGATTTTGTTCCACGAATCGGACGGCGCAAAGTAGCTGTCCGCGTCTAAGTAGCTGTCTGGCTCCACGTGAAATCGCATCGTTTGGGAACGGAGGAGAGGTACCCTGAAATTTTTCGCTCCGTCAATCGAAAGTTTGATGGTCCATGTCGCGGAAAGCCCGAGTTCCCGAGATTGGAAAAGGAAGCCTAGACCATCTACCTACAGCCGATGACAATGACAAATGCGGGGATGTCGATGAATCTTGGCTCTTCACGAGCCGGCATAATCCCCCAGTTTCTGACAGAAGCGCTCGACTGAGGATGAAAGTGAAATCACTCATCCTTCCAAGATCTTCTGACTGCTCTGGGAACTTTCAACGGACTTTGATCGGCCACGGAAGTCCTCGCTGTGTAAGTCCATTGCTCTCGAGCCATACCTTTTGCGGGATCCCGCTCGACCGGAGGCACGCGATTTGGTCTAGACGCCGGGCCGCTTACACCGTTGAAGTCCGTGAGAAAAAGGTCGTGTTTTGATCTTTGTATTCCGGGCTTATTCCATAGATGAATATTCCGAGGAATGGAACTCTGAGGGGACGCTTCCTTCCGAAAGAGCATCGGGGAGCTTCTCCAACAATGACTCGGGCTCTTCGAAAGTTATTCGTGTCCGACCTTAGACGATGTCGGGGTCGGTCCCGCAGTTGTAGCCAGTCGAATGTAGATGAGTCGCTTTCAGTGTCTAATCAGTAACAGAAACGTTTGTTTCTTCCTGCATGCTTCTTAACCAAGCTAACTGCCGGATCAGCATTGAACCAGCGCACAAAACAAGAACAACAGTGTTTATCGCGGAGCCCTTGCCCGCGGAAAACTGAAAGCTCTTTCAGAGACGATGACCTTCGAGGATTTGGTGGACACAAGCAGCCAATCGTCTGGGTCATTTCACTGTCGTGTACAAAGGGTCCCGGAATAGCTCTCCTGGGAAAATTCATCTATCCTTCGAGGGATCCCGTGAGTCGTGTCATCGCGCTCGTACGTAGTAGATTTCCGTATGAGGCTTCGAATGAGTACTTATTCGTATCTATTATTTATATTGCGTATAAATTATATTTCGCGTCACATCAGTACTCATTCGAAACTTCGCATCTTGAACAAGGAAGACGTACGCACCCGCGCAACCGGGGCAAATCCTGACCGAGCTCTCGTTCCCTTGAAGAACACACCTGAAGCCAATCGGCGGATTTGATCCCTTCGCTGAGTATCCCTTCCCGACAGTCTCCGGAGCTCGGAAAGTCTCAGCGCTTCGCTTATCCCTACCCAGCCGTCATGGCGGAGCCTGAAACGACCGGCGATTCGGAGAAATCAATAGCCATACTTGGCATCACATCAAAACTTATGATTATGATGAGACCGGTACTTCCGGATTGGAAAGAACGAGAATGAATGGGACACCGGCGAGCAATTTCCAGTGTCAGGCACGCTCAAAATCAGCTGTGGGCTCGAGCACCACAATGATGGTGATCCTTTGGGATAAAGTAGCGGAAAAATTGAAGTCCGGCGAAGATTTCTATTATTTCAACTTTTGGTGATCGCAGCGCTCTCCGTCGAATTTAGGCGCGGAAGGGTTCATTTTCTCGGATTGTTCTTGACCCTCAAACGATGGAAAGAAAAATTTTCATCAAAGCCTTGAGTGTGTATTATATTCGGAGCGCAAATGAATTCGAGGGTCACAGTTTAACCATCGAAGATACGGTGAGGGAGGTAAGGCGATTTGAGTGAGAACTCGGACTAGTACCCAGAAGGGCGGCGATCAGCCCTATAATCAAGCGACGAGAGCCGGATCGATATCTCCGACCGATGATCGACGTCTGAGCTCAATCGGAATTTCCCACGAATTCTCCCAGGGAAAACCCATTCCGAAAGTCATGGTCTCTTTTCTCCAAATCTCGAATATCAAGGTCCCACCCTTCAATCAACCTTCTTCCTGGAAGCAATTTTGGTCGATTCCGATGGGGATGGTTTCGCGTGAAAACTGGCGGAGTTACCTCAGCGTGTAAATGTAGTACTCGCTTCCGAGAAGTGTCGGAGGATCGACCAAAATAAGATGGTTCCGAATCATGCCTGACCGTCGCTGAGTTGCGCCCCATAGCGGCTTCCGACTGAGGTGCGAATCAGCGCCCGGATCTCCTGAGACCTTTGACCCACCGGCGCCCCTTTCCCTGCTCGCGCTTTAAAAGTAGCTGCACATCGCTTGCCAACGAAGACCAGACCTGGCGGAGCCGCTTGAACAGAGCGCTCGTGAAGCAGAATGAAGGCATTGGTTAGTTGTGGAGAAGTTTCGTGACTATGTGTCTCCCTGGTGCCAGCCGAGGATTACCATAAGTGTTTTAATCATGCATGGCTTCCTTCTTCTCCTTACTCGGATTCCCGATGTTGTGTTCATCTCTATGTTTTTTCCCCTGTAGATCTCCACGTGAGTTCGTCTTCATGAGCACCTGTCAAATGTCGTGGTGATTGATGTTTGTCTTTCAGCTTGTGGTTTGTTTGACCACGGTTGCCTACGCGGGCAATCTCGGTGGTGGTGGAGGTGGCGGCGGCGGCGGCAGAGGTGGAGGTGGTTGGCAACAGGGAGGTGGAAGTGGAGGTGGTTGGCAACAGGGAGGAGGAGCTGGAGGCGGCTGGCAGCAGGGAGGGGGTAACTTGGGCTGGACCCAGACCCCGACCAGTGGGGGCTGGCAACAGGTGCAGAAAGGTGGCGGGGGCTGGATACAGGGAGGCGGTGGCGGCGGCGGCGGATGGCAACAGGGGGGCAGTGCCAGTGGTGGGGGCTGGCAACCAGAGAGCGGAACCGCCAAAGGCTGGCAGCAAGGAGCAGGAAGCGATGCCGGGGGCAAGAAAATCTTCATCATAAAAGCTGTCAGTGCTGGCACTGCTGACATTCAATTCAAAGGGGGGAACAGCGGTGGAGGATACAGTGGTCATCATGGGAGCGGAGGATATACTGCAGGAGGCCACGGAGGTCATGGAGGATTCGGCTCCGGTGTGTCATCGGGTAAGTCGATGGGCAGTCTATCGGGATCAGCTGTGGGGAAACGGTTTTGAATAATCGATGAATGTTGACGGTACTTCGTATCTTAGGCGGATGGGCATCGAGTGGAGGGTCATCCTTCGGGAGCGGCGGTGGTGGTGGCGGCGGCGGCTACACAGCAGACTCCGGGAAGTCTCATATTTTCATCGTCAAAACAAAACCAGCAACGAGTTCGGAGGCGCATCACGTCGGAGGCTTCGGCGGTGGCGGACATCACGGGGGGAGTTATGGGACGAACAGCCATCACCGGACAAGTTACGGCGGAGGCGCCCACCACGGGGCAAGCTATGGCGTGAGCGGACACCACGGCGGAGATGGACACCACGGAGGTGGCGACAAGCATCATGGAGGGCAAACTTCGTCCGGAATTCATAATTTCGGCGGCAGCCCGGTCAAAGTGATCATCGTCAAAGCAGTCGAGGGTACTGCCTCGAGCAGTCACGGTGGCTCCAACAGTGGTTGGCAGCAGGGTGCAGCAGCTGACGGAGGTTGGCAACAACAAGCAACCCGTTCGGGAGGGGGTTGGCAACAGAGTGGTTCTGGCTGGCAGCAAAGCACATCGGGCTGGCAGCAGCAACAAGGAACAACAGGAGGCTCTGGATGGCAGCAAGGTAGTTCAGGAGGACGAGGAGGAGGCGGTTGGTAAAATCAACCGACCGCGTCAGAACTCAAACCCCAAACGGTTGTCAAGTTTTTCTGTACATAAACCCTGTGATATCTATTCTTCTATCGGTGAAAATGACAGCGCTCTCCAATGCGAATGTGTATCTATACGAGATAATTATTGCACGATTGAGTAAAAATTTATTTAAGAATTCGCAGTGTATTTCTCCTCATGCTTTCTCATGTCATGAAATATCGGGATCTAGTGGGACATTCACACTCCGGGCAACGAGTTTTTTTGCTCCGGGACCGAGATCATACCCCGCCAGCCTCATCGAACGCGGAGGAAGCTACTCTACGCCCTACAAAGATAGTCAATCGTCGGAGCCAGAATATCGAGCATGGTTAGGATTTCGTTTTGAAAAATCAAAATTTATTGCTATCATCTCTACAACAAGCGGTTCCATACTTTTCACTTCATGGGATAGGAATATATTCTTCATCATCTTCAAAAACAACGTTGATAAAAAAAGCTCGTCACCCTTCCTTCTGATCACCTCAGTATTCACGCAATGGAATCGTTGTGAATTCGTGAAGGTTTGCTACTCGTTCTCGAAAAGGCTTCACCCAAGCATCGATGTTTCCATACTGTCCGGTCTTCCCCTTGGATTCCTCGACCAAATGACTGATTTTTCTTCGATGATATCAGACAAAACATCCGCCTTGTCTTCCCAACAAACCGAAAAAAAATATTCAAGGAAGGCCAACATCTTTCATGGTATGTAGACGATTCGTGGTAGGAAAAGAGAACTACAAACCCTATGGGTTCCCGCGACCGATGTATCTAAGAAAAGGCGATCGGGCGACAATCGTGAGGCCTAACTCCAATCACGACTGCGCTGAGCGACTTTGAGATTGGATTCGGACCGAAACACTTCGTCCTGCGGAGAGCACTTAAGGAGGATTATGTGAGAGGGGCCTCCAGAATACATGACTCAGAAAACTGGCGAGAAGGAAGAGCTCGTCTGAACAAAAAGAGCTCCGTGTCAAAATTGAACTGAACAAGTGACTACGGATATGAAACATCCACAGAAGCATCGTCCGCCGGAGTGTTTTAACCGTAGAAATTCTAGGATTGCGGATCCAACGCGTGTTTGTACTCGAATTCGCTGAGGGCGGCATCTGCTCCGTTGTGGGTGCTCGACAGGCGGAATAACTTGGGTTCGTGTTTCCTGCCGCTGTTCGCGTGACGGTGACTCTCTTCTAGCTGGAATTTATAGCCGGAAGCAGCTTCCAAGTCGCCTTGCTTGAGAGCACGGGAAACATGCGCCCAAACCTTACGCGATTCATTAGCGTCTTGATCGCTCAGTACGCGGACTCGTTTGCGGCACTGCTCTTTGGCTTTGATGTTGAACTCTGTAATATTCCAATCGAATTAATCGCTTTCGCATTCTGCGGTCGGGGGGCGTCGACCGTCGATCAAACAGGGACAGATTCCCCAGCGACCCGGAGGGATCGGGACGAGACCTACCAAAGTGCTGTTGATAATCTCCTGCTTCCCTATGGAAGGAGATGCTCTCGTTCCAATGGCCTTGTCCACGAAGCGCGATATTATTCTCACGATTCCTTATTTCAACCTGCACTCCATGCATCTTCGCTCCGCGGAAGGGCTGGAACGGTGCCGAAAACGTATAATCAATCGTCCGAGCATAGATATCAAAGGGAGATAAGCGGAACCTGATCCCTCAAGCGAATTCTCTCGGCGGGAGGAGATTTGAGTTTTTGTCGCTCGGGTTATCTCCTGCGAAATCTCAATCTTGCGAAGTCCAAAGCCTGATCAGAGAACCCACCGGTCTCTCTGTACTTACTGCTGGAGATTTCTAATGAGCATAAGTAAGAGCATTCATGGATGCCACACCGTTCATTCGCTCACGGCATGGAATCGAATCTACGCGGCGTTCGAAGCATCGAAACGATTCGATTTCTGCGTTTGCCCGGGAGGGGTTTGCAGTCGAAAATTTCGGGTTTTCCCAGCCGAATTTCTAATTCGTTCGCATTGATCGAAATCTAGAATCTGAATGATGGTAAGGGGCGATTGAGCCGCGGGAGGAATATCGAGCTTTTACTCGCCCTACGCAGATAGGTGAGCGCACGCTCTCCAGCTTGCATCGTTGAAGCGGCCGAAATCGACTACCGACTATCCACCCAACACAGAATTCGGTACGCCATCCATGGTCACGAGCGATGGTAGCAGGCTTGCATGACAATCGATTAAGAGCGGACACTTGACGGGGTACAGAGATCGACTACATAAATGCGGCGGGAAACACACACAAGCGAACTAAAGGGGAAAATTGCGATAAAAATCAAAACTAACCGGGTCTGGGTTCGGAGGAGGCAGAGTTTCAGTTTCCGCTTTGCTCAGAAGCTGCAACTCGGCCAAAGGATATTCCACGTCAGATTGATCACCGGGTATGGTTCACGTGAACTAATTCTAAGGTATATTGCGGACAGTTTCTTTTGTTGTTCACACAATAGTGCATCAAACGTGACATCAGGACGATGATTGTGGGTGGTTGCCGAGCGTCTACAACATCGATAAGAAGAGTGTGCGCGAGTGATCCGCAGAATTTTCAGCTCACAAGCTGACGTAAGCTATGCGCAACTCCACGAAAAAATGGTCGGGCATTACCGAGAGGAGATCAGACGAGACACAGATAGATTCAGAGAAAATCAGAGAGACGGAGTCTGAAACCTCGATTTAGCGTAATTTCAAGCCCTGGAAGAAATGCAGAGAGAAGTTCCGCTGGCGAAGGAACAAGTCAGACTGGCTTCACTAGTCAAGTGATGGAGTGATGCATAGAGAGAGCGAGATGGAACGATGAGCTGCGCAGCTCGAGAGGAAAAGCTGTCCGGAGGGACCTTCTGACAACAACGAGTTCTAGTCCTGGCAATTTCTAACCTACTACAGCGAAGTTGAAGAGCTACAATTAGGATATTCATCAATCCATTCGTCGACCATTTCATCTATGACCCAATCCACGAATCTAAATACAACGCATCTACTCAATACGATCGATCAACTATAACATCAATGATAACAACAACGCGTCAGCATAACACTAGTATTCAACACCTACGAAATCGGAGCATTCGACTCACCTTCGAAGGGAACGTTATGACGGCGGAGCAGCCCGTCTCAGGGCACTGCACTTGCATTTTTCCACTGAACTCGAGGTAGGGTTTCGATACCAAGGAGCGGCAAGCCATTTGCGGCAGAGTGACAATGTAGCTCTCGCCAAACTCCAACAACTGCACGCTTAGGCCACCGATGAACTCGATGCCAACGTAGAGGTTCATGAACGAGGCCTTGACGCCCAACGTTGCCGTGCACTTCATCTGCCGCTCGAGGCACTCGACATAGATGGCACTCTTCGGTGGATGATGACTCACTTGCTCTGCTACGAAAGTTACGCGCGGAGGCGGGTTCCCGTTGTCTTCGTGTGAGTCAGGCAACTTGAAGGAACAACGGAACGATTCACCGAGCACTGGATTGAAAGGTTTACGGGCCACAAGTCCCTGAAAGGGGAAACGGTGGAATGAGAAAGCTGGAGGGAAGCGCTCGGCGCTCGCGACCCGGCTATCGGGAGACTCCGGGGGTTCCAAGTCGTGTTCGATTCGGTACCGCCCCCGGCGGGTTCGGAATTTCTTGCTCACCCTTCGTGTGGCGAATAGAGCCGAGAGAAGCCATCGCACGAGGTTGAGAATCCGCTCATCTTCGGTTTTTGCTTCCGCGATAGATACGAATAGTGGCGCATAGGAAAACATGTCCGCATAGACTTCGAGGAGCGATCGCGGTTCTTGTACAAAGACGGGTAGCGAGACTTTGGTGAGATCGGCACCCATTTTCAATTGACCCATGAGGGTTAGCACCGTATCTTTATCCTCATCCGACGGGAAAACCTCGGTTTCCCAGTGTCCCGAAGGCTCGACGGCTTCCTCGTCAGCAACCTCGCCGCCCGAGCTCCGCGCCGTCAACATCGACGCCAACGTACTATCACTAGTAACATGAGGCAGTGCTGGAAGCGATTTAAATTTCAGCATTCAGGATTCCGCAAATTGTCAAAATCGAAATAGGGAACAAGAGAGTCAGATGATTGATAATTAGGTCGAATTTTCAGGAGATCAGAATTAATCGTTGCATCGAACTTTGATCAAGTTTCGCTTACCCGAGGCTGACGGAGTGATTGCACCCTTATAATCCCCCGCCGAGACCGACAATGACTGTTGCATGCTGGAAACAAGAAGGCTTTGCACTTGATGGGAGCAAGCGAAAAAATTACCGTTCGGAAAGGGAGCCATGGAATCGCGTCGTGGGAATGGCGTCCGAAGAATACGCCGTCCCCTCCCCGAATCTCGTCGAAGTCTGATCTCAATCATGGATCTCCCACCAGGGAGGAAGATGTTCCTGCCCAGATGTTCCATCTTGATGATGGGTATGAAAGGAAAGGATCTCCTCCGGATACGGAGGAGTTCACGAAAGGCGAGGTGGTGGGACGCATCCAGAAAAACGAGAATCGGACGAGAGATGGCGGAGAGGGCTCGGAGAACAATGTGAGCGGACACGAATCAATGGACATCGCAGATTCAACAGCACTCAGAGACAAGGAGATAGAGAAAAGAGGACGGTACTAACACGGGTCGGAACGGCTGATGGGCCCAATCTCGAACCTTCTTCTTCAGCTTTTTTGAATGATGCTTCCGATTATGTGATGGTGTATTGTTAAGTCGCTGCTCGTACCGTTGATCAGAAAGCAACGAAAAGCATTGCTCTAAGCAAACCACTGTCGCTGTCGACGTTGCCTTCAGCAGCAGAAGATCCTGGAAAATTAACAGGTCATCAAAAACCGAATTTCTCGAAATGAATAGCTCTTCCGATCGAGATCTGGCTCATCTGACAAGTAGGAGATCTTCCCAAAACAGTCACTCACAGGGTCATGGGGTTTTATTTGCATAGTGTTCGGCAGCGTCTCCATGGCCACTGCGAGATCCCTGAAGGCTAGATTTGCCTCGGACAGTCTCTGCTGCAACGACTGGAAGGCTTCCCCCGGACACGGCAGGACGCCGGGCGGCTGAGGTTTGTTCTCCTTCTCCTTCGAAGCGACCGGCAGCGCCGGATATATGGGCGGATGCTTCAGTCCAATCGAGTCAGTGTGCGCTTCAGCCACGAACCGTAACCGATTCACCCACAGTTGTCGTTCTTTGGAGTCCTGCGCTCGCAATTTATAAACTTCCCCGCAAGCTGCCGATACGGTAAACATTTGCCCATCCTCGTCCGATGGTGACACTACGGCACCCTGTGAACACAGAAAACGTGAACCTACCGTCCATGGTATTCTCGGTGGCTACGGTAGGGACGGTCAGATGAAGTCCTCTCTCTCTCCCGGTGGCTTATCTACTCCGCTTTACCGCCAAGTGCACCGCTCCTCGAGGTCGAGTTTTCTTCACATCTTCGAGCATGTAGTATTCCAGGGTTCCCATCTCGCGATTGAGAACGAAGAATCGGTACTGGTAGCCTTTGACAACATTGGTGTATTTATACAATTGCCCCTCGAAGATTGTTCTGCAACGAGAGGAGACAAGAGTCATTGCGCAATCGCGACTCTGCCAGGGATGTTTGATATCGGATACGCGATTCATCGATCGGAGTCTCGGGGAGAGCCGCTCCTTCCGACGAGCGTTGCGACGACTAGAAATCTCCAGACTAGTTTCGGAAAAATAATAAAGGAATTTCACAAACTGGGACACGAGTAGGCCTTATCAAGCGCTGGCGATAAGGACCGGTACGCATCGGGCGTCGAGTCCATCAAAGATGCTCGACATGCGACGGCTAACGCTTGAGCAGCTCGGCGGTCTTATGTTACTTTCTTGTGATCGATTATGACTGCCAACTGATACGCGAATTGCTTCGGCGCTGCTCAAGAACTTTTGACGTCTAAGCCGGCAGGCGGAAAGCGCGGTCAGTCTACGTGGCCAGATCAATTTTCCGAAAAGCAAGCTTCTCCGCTTCACGGCAAGCGAATAAATATCAGCGGGACCCCAAGAGTCGTTGAGATGCTCATATTAACGCGCTGCTAGCAGCCTCACATTGACGTTCGATAGCGTTCCGTTCGGACCACGGACCTATCGCGAGCCAAATCATTGGCAAAGTGCGCTCACTAGGAGGATAATCAGATTAAAGGACGACGGGCTCATCCCGACCCACTCTCCGATGAGCGATCGTGAAATCACACTAACCTGGCCTGGGCTTCCTCGTTCGAGTCGAAGTCCTGCGGAATAACATTTGAGAGACCCTGTTAAAACAGTTTGGTTACGGTTAGTAGGTGCAGAAGAAGCAGCGGTGCGGAAAAAAAAATGTATTCGGTATCAACTCTCCACTCTAATCGACTTCAGCGAAATTCTGCCGAAATATTTTGATTTCCGAGGTAGAATGTTTGAAGTCGAAATCTTCGGATTGCGAAACGAATTCGCCGTCGAATCCTAAATCGCCAAGCCGCAGGAAAGACTTCCGGGAGCCTAAGGGAAGCAACATGTTTTTTCCTGCGTATCTGCGGGCCCATGGGGCGCTATTCATGTTTATCCTCGGATGGGCTCTGCTTGTTCGATAAAGTTACAGTCTATGAAATTAGGTGGATCCCGCCTTCGGGATGAGCTTCAAAAAGAAGCACCCCAGATCGGGGGCCCTCGTTTGGATTGGGCGGGGACGTCGCATCGGGGAAATCTCCGTCCTCTCGGCGGTCTTCGGCTCGAGCTGATCCAATAGGGGAATATATCCGCTGGTCGGCGAGCCGCATTAGAACAAACCGCAACAGACATCGAGCAAGGGAAGGCTTCCATCGATTCCTTTCTGATGTTAATTAGGTAGTTCTCAATCGAGAAAACGCCAAAGCTCAGTGAGGGTACGAAGACCGTCGGTCATCGAAATCGGAATGACGTCGGGCTCTCTTCTGATAATGAAACGACAGTGACATGCCGCGATCCGGTCAAGTATATCGAATCGTCCAGTAACAGAAGCTGCATCCCCAGCGCGATTGAAGAGGTGGGAACTCACGGCCATGGCGAGACGCCTCCCGGCTCCTCGATTTTTCGAAAGTTAGAGGTTCACTGCGGCGCCGACGAGCGTTCCCACGGAAGGAACGGCCGAATAGGCAGGCAGACAGACACTGAGTTCGACGGAATCGCATGGATTGCGCTAAGAGCGCGGAGGTTTTTCTCCACCTCTCTGCCCCCGAGTGGAAATCATCGAGGAAGGCAGAAACTTGATTCCGATCGATGTCTTATTCAACAAGTATGACACCTCTCCTTATCCACAAGAATCGAATACTGTTTTCCGTCCCTCTCCCCATGGACGACGGCTGCCGTGACTGCACGATAATTCCACGAGGAGGTCTTTAGTGCACCAGAGCTTTTGGCGCCAAGCTCAGGACAGAATCGAATCTGATCACGAGTTCAACAAATTCACGGGCATTCCAGGAACAGTCACCGATCCAGAGATTTCCTATTCCGAAACACTTCAGTCAGTCGAAGTTCGCCTCCGAGAACAGCGTTTCGGAGGAAATGTCACAAACCTTCATGGCGTCGCCCCTTGATCGGTCAAAGAATTTTCGATAGTGCCAATGACGGTTGCGTCACGTCGGCGAGCTTTTCTTACGGGATAATCGAATGAAATGATCGAGATCGAATACCCGGGTGATCTCAGCCATCTCTCGGGAGCTCCCTCTCTCGTGCTTTCTCCCTCACTCACTCTTCCACTCGCTAATTCACTGCTCTCAATGGAGCGCTCTCGCAGTCACACTCCATTCGAATTTCTGTCCACGAAAATACAGCCTGTTGGAAGTGGGAGTGCGCGGAGGAAAACTGCGCTCCTTTCTCTCGGCCCACGCTATGACGATGGATGGAATGCCGCGAGAAATAAAAAGCTGCAGCTGAAAGCATTTCGGGCAGTGCTAGTAGGTATATTTTACCTTGGCTTTTCGAGCGGCGAGAGCCAGATGGTTCTTCTCATCCTCGCTGAAGAAGCTCACACAGGAAGGACTCTTCCGGCAGTGCTCCGCGTTTCTGTGTCCGTTTTGTGTTTCTGACTTCATATCAGAGCCAAACGCCATGTCGTCCAGCTGGGTATCTGACTCTTTCTGCCTGGTGAAGCAACAGAGGTGACTGAAACAGTTTTTCATCACACTTCATGCGACCAACCAATGAAGGCCATGCTCGAGAGCGCTCCGCACTCTTCTCTTTCGGCGGCTACGGTTTAGATAGACCACAGCCGGACAGACTCTAGAATCGAAGCGCGACCACTAAGTGCACTCCTCTACTCAGTAGTTCACTTCGCATCAGCAGGTTTGAAGCCGTCTGCTACTGTCCTGTTTAGCCGCAAAGGAGCGAAAGGACACCGCGAGAACTCAGGGTTCGAACCCGAACCGCCAATTTTCGACACCGGAAGCAGCACGTATACGGTCGGTGATACCGCAGAAGAGCATGGGGGATGCGCACTCGACGATCCGCTCGCTGTAGATTATCGCTCGGGAACGCCTCAAGTGAGTGAGGAGTCGGAATGAGCACCCCGTCGGTCGATCAAACCATTCGGGGTCCGATCACAGTGAACACTGAGAGCGAACCTTTGAAATTACGCTCTCTCGAAAGTCGTAGCCTGCAACAGCCTTGATCGAGATCAACGCCTGTTTTGCCTCCGTCGCCTGAGCTGTCATTCGCGTGACATTTATCGCTTGACGGCGGTCGAGCATTCCGTAGTGCCGCGTTCCCAGTCGACGGCCTCAAGAAAAAGGTTCCTTGCTCTAAACTCTGATTCGATCCCGCATCATCTGCTTCAAGCGCGGTGGATCCTTCGCTGATAAACTTTCGACGCCAGGCTTGGGCAGAGGGCCTGGTTCCGGAGGCTTATGATGTTTCGGCCTAGCAATGAGACGACTTCCGTCGAATCTCCCCGAGATATTCCGGGCAGAGTAGCGTGCTCTACCTGGACTTTCAGCTTAAGGCTCACCCTGCCGAATTTCTTCCCCGCGTTGCTGGAACGGGAGGGTGCTGGACGGAGTGAGTGGAGATGCACCGGCTCTCACCGAATGAGCAGGACAGTCTCCGCGAAAAGGGGATCAAGCTGAGTTGAATTAGGGAAGTCCGGACTCCGACTTAGCGACTGTGATAGACCGCTCCACCTAAGGGATGGGAGGGACTAAGCAAATTTTCGCGGCCTGACCCCGGAGTCTAGCTGACGTCGCAATCGAGCGCGATATGAATTTGAATATGGCACGGCGGTATATCAAAAGGAGAATTGACGGAGAAACGGGAGGAGCTCTTCGCTTTTAAAAGGCTTTTATTCAATACAGTTTTATCGGTATTAATAATTTTTTCCCTTTCAATAATCGTCATTCAATGTTGCTTATATCTTTCACGACGATCTGCGTCTGCGTACATTTACATGGACTACTTCGCTTCTCTTGCAGCTACATATAACTATGTATTAATGATACTCCTCAATAATTATAATCACCATCTTGATAATCATGAGTTCCGCTTCCTCTTTTTCTTCATACCCTCCACGACGATTTTCCGCTGTACTTATTCCGCTTGCGATTATTCCGCGGTTGTTCTCTTCAATTTCCCCTTACATGGATCTAACATTTATTTTGCATCTCGTTCCCTTCCCCGGTTCCATCTGTTTCCCCGTATTATTTACACGATTCCCGCCCGGAGACGGCTGCACAACTGCGCAAACCTTAGCCACGAATCCGACGACCCGTGCTCTCTTCGGTCGCTCTGATCCGCACAGTCGAGCGGATCATTCTGCTGGTTCTGGGACGTTTAAGGAACGACAACAATTAAAAGCAGCGGGAGAGAATCGTCTCCCAGCTGTAGGCTCCGAACGCAGAATTCCATCGATGGGATACTGGCACATGACGTCAGTGAGGAATAATTATTCTAGAAAAGTCAACCGTGGCGTCGATTCCTGGCTGCAGCTCTGAGCAACTGACTGTCGCCAGTCAAAAGTTAATCTTCTACGCCCTTCCTACAAAAAAAAGGGACGTGATTTGGCACTGCAAAAACGTCGCTCAATATAAGGGCGGTCTGTATTCGGGAGTGACTACGTATCCGCGATTTGTCTTCCCCCCGGCGCTGCTCGGATTTAGCTGGCTGGTGACAAGTGGAGTCTCGTATCATGCGGATCCGATTCCGCGTCACTTGACGCGGAACGACCGACGAGACGCTCAATGCGCGTCCGAGTAAGTTTCAATTTCGGAATCGGAATACTTTGAACTCCGGGGATAGCGTCGCAATGACACTATCCCTCTTCTGGGTTGTCATGGTCAACAGTTTCGTTGTTTCTGTCTCCGGGACAAGAAGAGAAGAACACTTTGGTTAATGGTTAGCGTTTAATGAACCCCCCGATTTCTGTGGGTGATCGTACGGGTGAGACACGCTTCGGAACAACCCATAAAATGCACGGAGAGCCAGTGATGCAGTGGCGTATCGTATTCGTGTGATGTCGGGGGCGGACATCCCCGATTCCTAGGCCGAAACCTCGATCCGATACCCCTCAGATTTTAATTCAATATTCTTCCCACCTTTCGTTTTTCAATCTTGATGCCGAGAACGTTTTTCAAAGGACCTCAACTCGAAAATTCCAAACCGCCATATGAAGCTTTTTGGCACTTCTCCGGGGCGACTAGATGCCCCCGGAACGTTGACGCCCGGGGCGCCCGACGCTCCCGCGGCCCACGGTACGCCATTGCAATTATGGGTTAGGCTCGTTCGGTTACGTCGACGATGCATTCCTTAGCGAAAGCTAATGCGATTGATCGGGACATGAATGGATCGATGACCGCTCCCGCGTGAAGAGAATCGTCCTCGAAAGGGTTTTGTACGTGGGGGAACCGCTTCGCTGAGCTGGCCGCGGCCATTATTCGCCATTATCGATTCAGGCTTTATTTTCGCCGAGTGAAGGAACTCCGTTGCAGCGTGGTCAAAATCGCCGAATGCGTGAGAAACGAGAAAACTCTCGAACATTATCACAACTACTCGTTGGAGCTTGCAGCCATCATCCTATCATCGCATGATCAATCGTAGCCATCGTCATCATTAGCGTTCACGCTTGGACAGTCCTCACTGATCATCATCCGAGTCTCAAGTCGTTATGGTGTCGGTGGTTCAGTAACTATTCACATTGGGTTCGCCATTCGTAGTTAACATCATACCGCCCTCATGTCAAAGCCAACCAACTATCAAACCGAACAAATCCAACGAATAACCTGTCCAACTAGTAAACGACTAGTTTCTCGTACGAGTCCGTCTGCCTACATTTTCAATGAAAAAAAGTTTCCTGATCGTTTCCCATGGGGCCCTTCGATCCCGGCTCGGAAACATGTTGTACCTAACTGGTGAGCTGCCGTGGAACGGCGCCCCATCTGGCTGCCCGACGTGCGAACTCGCAAAGCATTCCCAAAGCAAATCGTAAGTGTGCTCCATGCATGCTCTACAGTACTGATCTCATGCAGTGCACGACTGTGGAGTCTTCGTCCGAGGGCGAGATCGAGTGATAATGCGCGTCGGTATCGGAGAGATAGGAATCCCCGTGTCTCCTCAGTGACTTGTCGTTGCTGTCAGCATCGAAGTCGCCGAATCGCCGATGGGGATCCCGGACCGACGACTGACCGAATTCGAACCATGAGGAGTGCTCATCACCACCCGCCATGATGATGCGCGCCCTAGGCGAGGACACGACTCGGACAAGAAAGCTCAAAAAAGAGATAGAGGTCGAGAAGAAATCGAAGTGAAAGATAGAGATAGAGAAAGTAGACGAAGAGAGAAGACCGAGCCTTGCTGGGGCTCGCGCCGTTGGCGAGGTCTCCACACGCTCGCGGTGTTTAGAGACATGGTCATCGCACGTTGATTTTTTTTGTTTCAATGTTTAATATAGAAAGAGATTGGTCTCTGGGGACACGGTGGGACACGGTAATCAGGGGCGGGACGGCTGTTGTAGGGAGAGGATGAGTTTACGCTTTGAATTGGTCAAAGGAAGCTGGGACAGGATGAACGCCGCAGGACGTGCGTACAAATATGTAAGCTCGATCGAGGGAAGGATCCGAATCTGAAGGTTAGAGGTAGGGCAGATCTCCGAGAAGAATTAGGTAGAAGGTACTTGAAGGGCGTTGCACACAGTGAATGACCAGGTGAAGTCGTTTGGGCTCAAATTGTACATATCTCTCGATTCGAAGGCGTAGTACCTTCCCATGCGACAGGAAATAGCTCAAGTGGTACAAGCGAGAAACCTACCGCTATTTCATGAGTGGCGGGGAGCCTTTGTGGGAAAAACCGAATGCGACGAGAATCGGGCAGCGATTGGGGCACCTTTCTCATTATATTCACAGTGAGAGAATGTCTTGTCGCCTTTCGGCTCATGGCGAGAACAACAGGATGCAGAAGTCAACCGTTGAATAACTGCGATATAAAATGTGTCGTCTGTCCGACATTCTCATTCCTTCCAGGGGTGGGCATTGAGGTGAACGCATGATTCCCCACAGGAACGATCGCTTGAGACATAGGACATCGCTGCACATCAATAGCAGACGAGCGATTCCTTAATGATTGGAAGCGAGTCGAATATGAATCGATGGAGTCCTCTCGAGACTTTCATCGGTATTCGCACTGGGAATAAATGCCGTTGGTCGAAAATCCGAGACTTCCCAATCTGGCACAGGCGCGTCTGGCGGCTCTATGCGGAGACCTCGAAGTCGCCAATGAGCTTAGGGGGGAATCACGTCGAATTCAGAAATGAGCTACCTCACTACGGTCTGTACGACCGGCTCTGCTTTGAGCACCTCAACGCCCCCCTTTTCGGGGACTTTGTTCGGAATGTGTTTTCGGATCTTTAATTCGAGATTGTCGGGTGAATCTTGCGAGATGGAGCGGAGATGTCCGGACACGGTCCATGACGAGTCACGGACTGCCGGTCGTCGCATTCCTCAGAAACCTGCTTCTTCGGATACCCTGGGCATCCGATTACAATTTCTCAGAAAAATCCGCACCACCGATCCTCGCAGCTTTCTTCTCTGATGACTTCGCGCCATAATGTTTGAATGTGACTACAAGAACGAAGAACTTCCAGAGCCAGGTCCCATTCAACACGCCGGAAGACTATCTCTATGCTCGACAGCATGGCACATGTGGGAAATTACAGTTACGTATGTACTCATCGGTCAAACATAAATTTGTTCTGCGTGGGGGGAGGATGGCCACGAATCGAACATATTAGGGGTTTTGCGACGGCTGCTCTGAATGTGTGGTCGAGGTCAGAGGAACCGATTCGACTAACAAAACTGGAATGAAAAACTGGAATGTGTACTTCCCAAGCGTGGGAAAAGATTCATCCAGCTTCGAAGCAGTCTTCGCATAGACCGTGAGACTTTGTTCATTCGATCGCAATCACCTCGGCCAATAGCCTCGCCTAATTATTTCTTGCGATCTCTATCGGAATGTTCGTCTTTTGCTTGCCTGCTCGTATGTATGTATTTTTATAGCGCGGTCGCGGTATATTTCTATCGTCGTCTTGTCATTCGTTTTATATTTCTTTTCACGTTGTACACAATTTTCTACAGTATTATAATAATAATCATAATAATATTATTCTCTTTTGTATCGTCTTTGGGGCTTTCTACTGTTCGTCGCCCATTCTGCTCCTTGCGGCAACGCTCCGGAAGGTACAAACTTCGGATGAAAACGATATCCGCGCAATATTTACGTGTTATTACATGAACTCGATATTCACGTATCGCTGACTCTAAGACAACACGAGACCTGTACGTGAACTCGACGCTGATGTGGCTCGGCTCTCGAACACCGAGTGTTCATGATTCTCGGGTATGTTTGCAATGCATGTCGAATGTATGTCTCTCTAGTAGTTGTTGATGTCAACACGAGGATTAGGTTCCGTCAAAGGACGACCTTATACCCTGTCTCCAAGGAGATGTACAGATGTGTGGATGCTCCTCCTGATCTTTTGTTGTTCGAGTTGTTTACTTTGGCGAGTCACTTTCTGCTCCGAATAGCGTCCTATGTCTCTATTCGGACACTTGAGTTCAGTGTTTGTTTCATCCTTCAGTTCTGACCGTTCCGTCCGGGATGGTCGAGCTCTGTAGAGCTACGGCAGAAAATTATTCTGTCGTTTGTTGATTTGCCAGCTTTCGCGCTCGTCTCGATTCAGTGCTCGATCGACATACCAGCTTTCCAGGTTCGTTTTGGTTTGTTGTGCTTCTCGGTTCCGGGATGGTATGTAGGTAGTACATCAAAGGCTCATCATTGGATTCGCGAGCGGGCTCGTCGGGAACGAGCTCGAGTCTGTTCCCAGGCGAGATTTCTTCGAGTCCGCTGCGTTCGCAGATCCTATGCTTCTCGTAGGTTCGATCGTTGATAGTAGCTGTTATTATTTTTTTACTACTCGATTCATGGTTCTTCGGTTCTAGAGCTTGATTTCGTCATTGGTTGGTTGTGTTCTTAGTTGTTGTCATTCCCATTATTATTACGCAGTTGTTTTGAATCGTAGGTCATCTTCGACGTCCTTCTTCGCCTTGCTTCCCTGGCAACGGCAATTTTTCTTCCTGAATTGGGTTCCGAGAGTTATGTGGAGAGAAATAGAGAAAGTTTAGCACGAACGGGGTGAGGATCTAGGATTGGCTTCGGCTGTAGAATGCTTGTTCGGTTTTGCTGATGCTGCTGCCTTGCCGCTGCTGATGCGTGTAAGATCTGTGTGGATTTATTAGTACGAGTAGTAGTAGTAGTAGAGAGAGAGAGAAGAAGAAGTAGTAGTAATTATTGGAGTGGTTGCTGCTGAAGAAGTGAATCCGAGAGAGGTACACTCGTAGATCACTTTCACTGCACTGACTTGCAGAGAGGGAAACAACGACAATGTCACACAATTCTCGACGACCGTTCGAAGGAAATCGCGGCACAAGGTGCTCCTCTCCCTCCTTGTACCCTTTCCTCATTTTCTGCATTCTTCTATGCTGAGAGACTGGTTCACTAGAAGTATTAGAGTAGTTGTAGTGGCATCAATCAAGTCGGTCGATCATTTGATCGTCCACACGATCGTCTTCTGTCTCTTGATTGACGAGAGAATTCCGTTGATAACGTTGAACGCTGAACCGATGAGTTGAACACGAGAAAATAACGTCCTACGACATAACATGGGACAACGATTCCTGCTGCTGACCGCTGCTCCCGGCGTCCTGGGAGGTCTTCTTCCCCTCGGAGGACTCGCTTTGCATTGGTTTATAGCTTGCCCCGCCGACTTGCGGAGCAGTCCAGTTGGACACGGGAGTTTGTGAACAAGGGGCGGCCAGGGGTGACGGCAGGATCGCTTACGCTGTTCGATCGTGTGGCCGCGGTGCGGTTGCTCCTGAACAGGATCAAAACGTAGTAATACTCTGCTCAGTGTCGCAATTCCACTGGGGACACACTGTATGCATTTGTTGTTGTTTTTGCTCTCTTTTCTTCGGACTGAGCGGTGGATTTATCAAGCTTCTCGAAGTTGAAGTATAAGTGGTAGTAGAAGTAACGAACGAACGATCGATCGATCGGGTTGTCAATCGAGTAGAGTTCAATGTCAAACAATGGATGAAGTTACTGCCAGAAGTTATAGTGGAATTTGAGTCGAAAAGCTACTAGTAGTATTAATCGGCGTCCTCCCTGAAGAGATACGTCGTCCAGTACACCAGGTTGAACAACGCGAACATTAACGGGAAGAATATTCTGCAAGAATTCGGAGGAGACCGTGAGCAGCAGCGTTCACTCGGCCGATCTATTTCAATCGATGCTTCGATCTCAATTTTTTTGTGAGCGATGCGGCGCTTCAAACTCACCTTGAAATGACGTCGATCCTCTTGGATCGCGTCGGGAACCGAGATAGCCACGAGCGGCACAGGTTTGAGCCTGTTGAGGACGGACCTTTCATGTGAACCTGGAACTAGAAGGAGGATCACCGCGTCGTATGAGAAATCATATCTGATATCACATTTGATCGAGCTCATGCCCCACAAGCTCCGAGAAGGAACATACGCTCTCTTTAGAGAATACACTGAGCCTGGTGGTCCATATGATCGAAATCGGAAGAATGCAATCTTGGACTCTCCTCGCATGCTAGAGCGACGACTCTTCTCTCGACTGTCAAGGCCCGAAATCAGTCCTTCAAGTTTTACCGAGTTTCACGATGAGAACATAAGCAATCATTGACGGAAAATATTTCTATTGGGCCGAGACACACACTCTGGCGACGATCACAGCAGATCAGGCAAAATCATGGCATCCGGGTATAGAATTGAGAGCGAATATTTCTTCCTTTCGGTTCGATTCTCCGAGAAACACGAAAGTAAACATGAACAGAAGCAAATTCATTGGCACTACTATTTGTACGCACTTCGCACTGTCGAAGTTCCTGCGGCGCTGTATGAGTTCGTTGCCGGGGCACGAGGATATCCGCATCGTTTGGGAGAGTGTTTCGCCCGAGACCTCGTTCGTTGCCCTGGAACGGCTATATGGAAGAGATAGGAATGGGACGATAGGGTTTGAGGAAGCATTGAATGAGCCAACGAATTTGTTCGTTGATGCATGACGAGAGGGATAGGTAGGAGAGGATGACGAGGATTTTTCGAGGCATTGGAGGTATTGGGTAGTCGGACCCGAGACGCAATGGAGAGGGAAAGGGAGGGAAACAAGAAATCAATTTAATTCCAAACCGACGCTTGCGACAGTAGGACATCTATTTTTAGAAGCAGGCTGACTCTGCCTACTACATCTCCGCTCCGCGAATGGAAAACACAGAGCTTCGTGCGGGGAGTATCGTCAAAGGAACCGGCAATGATCATCCCCCGCATGTATCGGCGAGCAGACAACGCAGAACCCGACTGGATCTGGATCAGTGGGTCGAGATGCCTCAAATGATTGATCGTGTCAAGTGGAGCGAGTTCAGTACGGGAATTCCGGCTTTCCCATCGTCTATTTTAAACCTTGTACTATTCGTAGACGACGCGTCCGAATCCATGGTAAGGGCTCCGAGTGAACGGAATCGGACTCTAGCTCAAAGCACACACTCGAGTTCGCTCCAAAAACCTCGATATAAAACAAGACACGGCTTCGAGAGAAACTGATCGCGAATTTAGAGAGTCAGCCGAAGGAAGAAAGCGTCGGGGTAGATGTCACTCACCATGGCAAATGCTTCATCGCAGTGGTCAATGGCACTCTGGTTGTTCTCGAGGCCGGCGGCTGCGATCGAAGCAGGCAGAAGCCACTTCTGCCGCTGCTGAGTTGCCTGCGGCACAGACTGTGAGATTGACGCGGCCACGTCGAGGAAAGTATCCGGAGATCCGAGTTGTAAATCGGTGAAATCGATCGTTGCGACGAGCGAGTGAGTGCATCACCGATTCCGTGGGTGGATCCGCAGTGTCGGCGTTCGTAGGGTACGTAAAATCGTTGATGGGTGGATGAGTGAATGATTGTTCCATGAGAAGGCAGATCGTGCGAGGTGTGATGCAACGCGCCCGTGCACGCACGGGTCGGGGTGAGAGAAGTGAAACGACTCGATCTTAGTTAATGGTTCGGTGCATGATGACGAAAGTTTTCATGATCTTCGTGAACTTCATCGACACGAGCTCGACGAGCAAGAGGTCTCGAAATACGGTAGCGTGCAACCGGACGAACTGACATCAGAGAGAGAAATAGTACGCCGTCCATCGGAAGATTCTCGAATCAGTTGTACCAGCCCATTGCGGGCGATTACAACGAAGACTCGAGAACAACTACCTAGTCGTTATTGAGATTTCCAGAATCCGGCAAGAGGATTTCCCACGGAGCTCTATCAGGCCGGGAAGGAGGAAATTTAATATGCGTCTAATGACCATATTCTCCCAAGACCAGCTATAGAGTACTCAATCGAAGTTGACAGAAAAGAGCAGACAGAGTTACTCTGGACCGACTCGATTCAATTTTCCTCTCTCTGGCACGTTGGAACGTCGTGATTGAAAATGAGGGGGGGAGTAGAGCAGGACAGGCCTCATCGGAGCCGTCGTCTTAGCGAAGAGGGAGCAGGCATCACCGAGAGATCTCGGACGACCATCCGATGTTCAGGCGGCCCGACCAGGGTGCCATTCTCATTCCTTAGCTCACCATCTCAGACGAGAGGCTTTGAGCGAGATTATATCTCTCGAGCTCGAAATCCAGAGTTCCGAATTCTGCCTTCCAATCATAGTCAACGCGAAAATCCTATTCTATGTATTATGGAAAGAGGACCAATGGGGAGCCCAAATCAAATGCATTCAGTGGACCGAGCGGAGGATGTGTCGAAAGAAAAATTCGGAGATTTGCCAAGGAATCTCAGCTACGAACCTGCTTGTGGGTGTTCTGCCTCCTCTGATCGGAGCGAGAGGCATAGTTTACAAGGGCAAACTCCAGTAGTGCCCCGAATACAAATGTGAGGCAAACCCCTGTCCACACGTCAATAGCTTTTGTGTATGAGACAGGAGGCAGAGAAGCGTTAATGCCTGCGGATTGGGACAGAATTTCTTTTTAGCGTTCGGATCATTCTCACAGCGGACGACCTCATTTCTCGAGAGATCGACTTTCACGAAATCAGCAAGTTTCCTCACCTGAAATTTGGGTAGCCATAGTGAGCAATGTCGTCACTCCCAGAGAAACTCGTGCTGGAATAGATGTCGGGTCTAACCAGAACGAGACCCAGGACACAACGACAAGCATGCAGCACGGAATATAAATCTGAATTAGGTAATATGAGAATTCACGCTTGAATACGAGGTCAACCTGAAAAGGAGAACATCGCGTTTAGAAATTGATCGATTCGCCTCCGACGAGTGACTGCATGGCTGCTCCCACAAAAAACTACTTCGAAATTGAGCTCTGGAACGCGGTTGAACGGGCGCGTAACGCTTCATGGTCCTCACAGATTCAGGGGACCGCGTCCTCTCAATGGAGGCAGAGCTCGAGATTGCGTCGACTCAATACGAGACCCAGCGACAGTTCCGTCATCGGCGGCGATAGGAGGTACAATAAGCAGTGTAGTATAGCAGCAATAGCAGTGCTTGGTCAGCGTGTCATGGGATGCACTCGAGCGTGTCGTATAATTGCTCGGTTGTTGCTGTGCGGTACGGAAATCGCATCTGTATTGCTCGCAGCGGTCGTAACGGTAGCTATCTGTCGATTGATTCGCATACCGACGAGATACTCCACTCGCATGACATGACTGTTTACTCGATTCGCTGATAGACATGATGTCGTTTCGGGGTCGTCCCACAGAAAAACCGCTCATTTAGTATCTCGACCCATCATATCATCCTCCCACAATTACTCTGGAAGCCAACGCTCCAGCCATCGGTGCCGCACATAATTTCACTCATGCCTGAAAAATTGTTACCGCTCCAGCAGAGACGGCGTGCGGCAGCTCGAAGGAGCGCTCAAGCTTCTCTTAAATTCGTTAGGTTCAATTTCGCGCTCTCTGCTCTCGTTCCTGGCGGGTAAGTACGTACGATGAAATGAGGTTTTCTTGACGTTAGGGAGCTTTCAGCTCGTCCCTCTCCCGGCGTGAACTGTCGGTCGTCCCGCCTACCCGCTGCTTCCTAGCTGGCTGCATTCGACCGTGAGGCTCAAGTCAGCCGGCGAACGAGCATGCAAGCGAGCGGGCAAGCAAGAGAGCGGGGGCATGTTAGACATAAGCGATATCGCTAATTGACTACGCGGATACAAATCCCCGTCGCTTACAGGCTGTTTTCTCAGCAGACAGACAGCGGGCGAAGGGAGAGAAGGCAGGAAGGCTGACTGGCTGGCTGGTTTGATCTCTCGGATCGGCTAGCTTGGGAGTCCGCCAGTCAGCTCACCCGCTCGCTCGCAGTCGTTGCTCCCTCAGCCATCAGCAGAACGCCCATCAACGTCTGCTGCTTTGACCTTTGCTTCCAACGTTCGAAATGTTCGGGTTAGAACGAGGGAACGGAGCGGAGTCCTGGATCTCGACTCGGCTTGTTAACCATTGGCTGGCCGGTCGACTCGGCTGCTAGCCCACCGACGAGGAGGCAAGCGAGCGGGCGGGCGGGCGTACGTACGTTCCGCAAGTAGGACGTCGGCGAACAGGGTGGCTAACGAAATACGAGAGGAGAGAGACGACACCGAGAACGGGACGGCGATGACGACGACGAGTAACTCCAAACGACAGGCGCCTGGTTGGACTTACCTTGAGGCAACTATATTCTCCGGTGTTGGTTCGGCTCGTGCAGTAGTCGGTGTTGAATCTTTCGAGCGTAAAGCGTGGCAAGTGAAGGTTCTTGGTCACTTGTACAGGGTCGCCTTCTTTCCATAGGAATACAAGGTCCTCTGTGGTATAGCCATCTACGAATGACGTCCGGGAAGAGGGAGAGAGTAAAAAATACTGAGTCGGGAATTGTGGAAAAACTCTTCCAGTCAAGGCACGGACGAAGGGCGAAATTGCGGCTGGGGACTGCTTTTTAGCAAGCTCGTCGATGTCCGTAGGAGTATTCAGGGAATGAATTCGAGAACGAACGAGAAAAGACGACTTCGACAACAAGAACGGGAGATGGGACCGAGAAGAGGGATGAGAACGACCGAGAGGACTCGAATCCATCCCGGAGCTGTTTGGATTGCAAAGTTTCTTCCAACGCTCTCGGATATCGGGCACCTGAGGGCGAAGCAACGAAGCGACTCACGGTCGTCGTCGGAGCTGACGATTCAACTCCAAGGATTTTCCGTATTGCATCTTCCAGAAGGAGCTCACAATTCAGAGAACGGAGGAGAATAATCTCCACCGATGGAGAGGGAAGGACTTTCGGAGTGATGCCCGGATAGACAAATAATCGAAATCGGCAGTTGAAGTGTGGGGTAGAGCGGGGGGGAGGGGCGAGTAGGATCCGTGGCAGACATCTGATTTCTGTAGGTTCGAGTCGAGTGCATGGTCCGTTTGCTTGATGTGCCGGCGAATGAAATTCGCCTGATCCTCTCGAAATTCGAACCATCAAATGGGCGGGATACATGTTTGAAAACATGCGGTAATGAGAAGTTTGATACTTACAGGAGGCCATAAGAATCGAGCATATCTGTTTGTCGAGAGGGTAGAATTTCAAATTCATGGGACAACTAAGCACCAATGAGATACGAATACTGAACAGGACATCTCCATTTGGGTAAATCCTGCAAAAGACATGAATCATATTACTGGTCTGGTTCGGATTCTCCGGCCCTCCTTCGATAGCGTACATCTGAACGGAGAGAAGCGATCCTCCGGGGAATCTCTCGCGCGGAGTTGGGGAAATAGGGCGAAGGCTCGATCGAACTCACCTGAGTAGAACGTTGGGCACGATAATTTGATGCAAATGACCCTCTTTTTCGTTTGAAAAAAACAGATCGGGTTGCCAAAGTTTCTTCTGATCCGTTAGGGTCAGATATCGTATTTGGCCTCCAAGGTCGTCGTACTGGAGTCGCTCGTCTCTCCATTGTTGACGGAACGTCAGCTGGACAGTGTACTCCTACGGTGTAGAAGATCATGGAAAAGATAGGAAAAATCCAGTGAGTCAAGTTTGCTGAGAGCTCCATAGAACCCATTAACGCAAATTGCATAGACGACACTTAGTCTAGACGATTGAGAGGCTTCACTGATCGAGATTGTCTTTGTTCTCCTCAGTGTACTCTTTGGCAACAAGCGATAGGTACAGGACGGCAGGAACGACAGCGGCGGCGGATACACGGAAATACCAGGATTCGACAGCGTCACCGGGGAGACATGTGAGAGGCCGCTCGAGAACCGGGATCGGTGGACGGTCTAGGTCGGACAACCACTAGAAAGGATCTGGCAAACCGGACAACCCGACCGATAGAAATGGCTGAGGGATTCAGCAGTAGATACCAACTCAGTATGGAACACAGGTTGACGTGATTGGAAAAATAACGTGGTCGGATACGTGGGAAGTCCCGCAGGACGACGGTGCGGCTTAAACCATGACGTTATCGCTCGTCAACGCGTTTCAGGCCGCTATCTTCCCCCTTATATCTTGTATCGTCGGAAAGGACGGGTCCCTCATCTTAAAATTTCCCGATCCTCTCTTCCCTCGACATCATTTTCGCCGTTCGGCACCGGCGACACCCATCGCGACGGAGACAGCAATCAATATTCGAAAGTGCTCGGATCGTCGAAGGATCGCTCGAGTTCCTTTCAGCGAGACTTTTGACACGAATTATGACGCTCATGTGAAACGGTATCGTATCTTTTACGAGTCGGAGACGACGCGAGTGACGCTGTCGACCAGATCACGCCACAGGATCGTTTAGAGTGCGCCATTATAACGGGTGTGGGGACTCTCGTTTCGGCTGTCGGACTGGCTGAGTCGAGAGTCTGAGCCTCATCCGAGATATCGCGAAGAAAAAAATCGTTGAGGCAACTTTTCGACCTCGGGCTTCAGATATTGAGGGTCTGCGGGAGCGAATGCGTCAGGATCGAGCTGTGACACCATCCGCCGGACATACCCACCGGAGTTTGGGGCGCAGAAGAGGAACAGAAGGAACGGGCGAAAGAGGTGCGTAGGGTCCGAGATTAGAGCACAAGACCGGTGAGAGGGGAACTCCTGGCGACCCTTGATTACTTAACCCCTTATGCGTCTTTTGCGGCTTGCCTTGCAAAGAGAGTGATTTGAGCTGAATATACAGGACGGCAGGTTGTCCTTCTCGAGCTCAAGGACAATAGGAAACCGATTGTGTTAGGCGACATCCAGGAATAAGAATAGTTCCAACGAGAAGCCGATAATCCTGCGCCGCGAACGGACCCTACACCCTTAGCCGATTGGTCCACCGGAGTTTCAGGGAATAGCTGCCGAGCACAGCTAGCCGCTGTCGGACGGGCTCCAATGAAATCCAATCGATGCCAGCAGATTCCATCGCGCGTGGCAGCAAGCTTCCTCTTCGTAGCTGATGCGTCCCTCGATTGTTGCCTGTTTCCACCAGTTCAAGAAGTAATCGCCGGACTAGAACAGTCTCTTCTCGGAGGACGGAGCTTTTTATAGCAGTTCCACTCGTTTTTCTGACGTCTTGAGAGAGGCGTTTTTTGTGCGGCCCGTTTCCCTGCTCGCGGGGCTCCGGACCGCGTGGTGTGTCTTCCGCAGACGGTTCGAGGAGAGAACCCGGAAGAATACATCCTGCCGAGTTCAATCTCTCTGTCTCTCTATCTATCTCTCTCTCTTTCGGAACTGCAGCCCAGATAATGCTACTAACGATTCTCCATGATGTTGGAGGAATGAATGGTGTTCAATCCGTCCAAGACTGCCGCCGTGGGGCTGAGTTGTAGGGAGGAATGAAACGCATCCTCAAGATCCGGAATCACCTGGTGGATTTTGTCGCCAGGGTTCAATTCCAGCCGGAGACGGAGCGTCGACTTCTGATAGCTGGCGAATCAGGAAATCGGAATCTCTCGCTCGCTCAGGGGAGAACAGAAGACCGCGGATCCGAGTCAAAGAAGATATCCGCTTCTCGCGGAAAATCATAATGCCTGAGGTGGCGTAGTGTCCCCGCAAACGGTCACTGTGCCAAGCCGGGCATTCATGCGGATCTCTCGCGGGAGTTTTCCCGATGTCGACTTCGTCCTAGATGTCGCTGATGTTCCGTCCGCAAACAGCCTCGAGCAAGCCAAACTCCCATCTGAACGGAAGCTATTTATGCTGTTCATCGTTTTTATGAATTCGCTGGAAAACTGGGGAAACTACCCATATTTTCTTCTCCGGTCGGCCGGGGTCCGCGGACGGAATTGGATCGGGTTGGTTCGCCGAGCGCACGGCCAGGCGACCAACCATCGGAAGTTCAACGAATGGACGAGAGGAGCCGCACCGCAATCGAGCACGAAGAAGCGAATAATAATTCTGAGTCGAGCACGGCCGATCCTGATTTTCTCGTTTGAAAGAGGGTTTCGCCGTGCGCCATTGGATTTAATCATCGTTTTCTAGGAGCAGGACCCTCTTGGGTCGGGACATTCGTACCGAGGAGCCGAAGCTTCCCTTTTCGCGACCGACCAGAGTGCCTATTCGAAAGCCCAACTTCCAAACGGGCCTGTTTGTGCAGGCTGAGACATCAAACAACTTGTCACTCTGCGCTGTGAGCATTGGCATCGGTTCCGCCGCCCTCGTTGTTGTTAAACAAAGTTCCTCAGTGGCCCCCTCCATCCCGACGTCCCGTGTGTGTGTGTGCGGTAGGAAAACGCTGAAGGGGAAGCGACACCAAGGAAAAAGGAACCAAGCGAAAGACCTGTCTCTGCCCTACTATGTATGGTAGCCCCCACGGTCACAAACACTCACCATGGTGACGTCGTCGATCTTCCCGATGCTCCGGATGTAGATGTTGACCCGGACGAGGGCAGGCCCGTCAGTGTTATTGATTCCCATCGGGCGAATTCGCGAATCGTATCTGCCCTGTCCAATGATAGAGTCGAGGATCCTTTTTTCGATAGCGCGGAAGTTCGCTTTGCCTCTGTGGAGTTGCGTAAAATCTTTTTATATGATGTCAATGATGTGCGATGTGGATCCGAATGCGAGCAAAAGGGATCAGGACGATCATTCCTCTATCACCGTGGCATCTCAACCCCTCAGCGGCATCGACACTGCTGGGGTGCTTGGTGCCCAGATGCCCAACCCCCTTCCCCGTTCCCGACCGGTGAGAGGGTCTGTGAGTGTGACACACGGCGAGAGTCTACTTTCGGGAACTTTCTCGTTCGCACCACGAGTTGAGTTCCCAGTCACTCTCCCCGAATCCTCGGAACCTATTCGTCTATGATAGAGCACCAAGAGGCACCAGAGCCCCCAGTGGATGAACCAGGTCTCATTTGAGGCTCTGAGCATATCGATCCGGGCGGATCGACTCCAGCAATCTGAGAGGGCTGCACCCCCATATCGGGGGATTTTGAAGGTTTGGACGCCGTAGCGGTGTCACATGAACGGGAAACTAGACAACTGGAAACTGTTCTCCCGTCGTCGGGACGAGCTTCGTGGGTTCCGGAGTCGCAGAAAGTCCAGCATCGCCCGCGCCGGTCGGGGGCCGCCATGGCTTCCAGCTCTACGCCTGCACAGGAGCTTGTCGGCGTGAATAGATTGTCGATAAAGATCCACGACGCTCACAGAGAAAGATTACTCATTGTGATCATGGGTCTACGCAACCATCAATTACCATGATTCATCCGATGGCATGGGGCTGTCCTATTCGGTCTTATCCGCTCCTGCGAATTTTCGGAGGACGACTATTCTCGCCATGCGACAGAAATTCGCTCTGCTCGTCGTAGACTCGGAACTCCTCCGCGCATGCATCTTGTCCCTTCGCGAGACCCAACCCAAGGGTTATGAGGGACCTCAAATAGCTCCGTATCCTCTACTGCGGCTACCCAGAGCATCACTTGGACTTTTTAATCTGCTCGGATCCGATGTCTGTTCAAATGTCGTTCGGGAGGGTTTCATTCATTTTTCTTCCCGGATCTCTTCGGGCGGGAAAGTAAAAATCCTGAACTGTTCGAACGGAATCGAAGGAAAGGCCCGAAGCCGGAGCGGAATCGACGATTGGGAACGACTTTCCCCCTACGCTCCCCACCTATGGAAAAAGCGTGGGGACGAGACGAATGAAGTGACGCCTCAACGCCGATGGCTCCTTCTATTTCCTCTCCTATTGAACTTTCGGACGACGACGGCGGATGACGACGCTTCCGCAGTGAAGGTCGGCTGGAGACAACTGTGAAACCCGAATGTGCGACTGAGCGACGGATCCGACCGAGTGCGGACCACCTAAATGAACGGTCGGCGGAACGGACTTGACTAACTCGAGGCAGCAGACCGTGCGAAAAAATCATCGAGACCGAAAAAGGCCGAGAAGCTGGATGGTCGACCGCGGAACCGGCGCTGATTCCGCGAAGCGCCGCTTCTTCCACAAGCAGCTGAGCGCGGTTGTGGAACAACAAATTACGAATCCCACGGATATCGGAGTTCATTCATAATACTGCGGAGAACTCTTGCGAGAGGTCGAGCTCGCTGCCATATGACGAGTATTGTTCTCCTTTTGACTACTCCGTTATTTCCATTTCTCCTCTCGACTCAAGATGACGGAAACGGCAAAAGGAGAATGAGTCCAATGGACCGTCGTGACTTAACGAGCAGGTGACAGCGGCGGCGACGACAACGCGGCTGATGGAGATGCCAATGGTAATTGTGGGACGTTCGAATGTCAGAAACTCACTCTTTATCGCTGGTCATGTATGGACTTTTCGGCTTTGCGCGAACGGCTTGCGGCAACGGCATAGGCTGTTGGTATAGTTGGCTTGGCGAGCTGGAATATTCGATATATACCTTTAGAATTAGGATATTGTATGTACACAACGATCGAGACTGAGACCTTTGCGGTAAATTAATTATTCGCTGTTCTGCTCGAGGGAGCGAGGATTTCCTTGAGCGAGCGCTGCATCTACCGGCAAGATAACTCGTCGAACTTGTTTAGATGTGGGAGTCGCTCGGAGGACGGAGGACTCGCGGAAAAGACAGAGGTCCCTTGTCATATATCTAACGGGGAGCCTTTTTTCTAGACAGCGCTCTCGAGCGGGGAGTCAGCCGTTTCCTCAAGTCATGGGTCGACTATTTGAATGCGTATTATTATTTGAAAGTATTATCCGAGAGGAGCTGCATGAAATAAAAAACCGAATGAGCCAGTCTCAAGGAATTCCTCCGGCAGAATCCCGGAGTGGTGCACTGCCGCTTGAATTACGAACGAAGATGCTCTTGGGAACAATGGCGACGGAGACGCGGTCTCCCGTTCGCCGAAATCCCAGTCTGAATGTTTTCGGAGAGTTTGCCGCGCGAGCTCCGTTCCCGAAGGAATTTCCGTCTCGGTCGGCGGCAACACGGACGACGGCGGCGACGACGACGTGGGGGAGATGACGAAGTACGCGATGAAATAACTGAGGAAATCGTCGACGACATTGTGAACTCTATCCGTTCTCGGGTTTCTCTCGGTCCACTTGAATGAAAAGCGCCGAGATGAGAGTAAGAGGTCGCTGCCGTCGTCGCTTCTTCTGCTATCATCGGCGATGTCATCGTCAACGACGCAGGCTTCCGTCGACGACGAGAAAAACGAACGGCTCGCTTCGCTAAATCGATATGCCAATAAGAGTTGGAAGACTTCAGCTATTGAATGAGCGACCCGGGCTCGAGCGGCGACGGCCGGCAACAGGAAGATGTCATCGCCTGCCCCGAACGCCTATGCATGGATGCTTGCGAGCGAGCGAGCAAGCAGCTGAACGCTGCCAACGAACCTCGACCGTATTTAGCGTCAGTACGTCGCCCACGCGGTGAGTTCCGTCTCGAAAACGAACCACGAGTTTGGAAATTGTATTTAGGCGGACGTCGTGGGCCGCTCCGATGCGTATATCGCGTGCGGAACGTCTTGGAAAACGAATGTCACTGATGAGAGAAAGACGAGATGAGGACCGAGCAAGGAGCAGCAGAGAGCCGGGGGCGAAGAGGCGCGAATAAAAACGCTCAGAGGTCGGTCCCGGATTTTCTTTCCTTTGGAGCACTTCGCAGAGGGAGAACAGAAATAAATAAGAAGCTCCGCAGTCGTCGTTTCTGATGTCGGAGGCAGAAGCGGAGCGTCGTTCGTTCTTTTGTTAGCTTTTCTCTTCTTCTGCTGCTGCCGCCGCCGTGGAAGGGAGCTCTGTCTCCTCGGGTTGATGCCGCTTGCCTCGACGCTCCTTTCACACACGCTCGATGGCGACAGGGGAAGAGCTCGGAGGCTTTTTTCACCTGCAACCACCTGCAAGCAGGCTTCATCTACCTGCAGACCACGGCATACGGGCTCTAGTCTGCTTCCGTTTGTTCGGTCGGCCGCTGTTTTGTCAGTTCTTCTTCTAGCCGGAGTCCCATGGCTGCGAGTTTTTCCGACGCTTCCTCCGCGATATCTCCTTTCTCCCGTTGCACACGAATGCCGTCGATGTCGCTCGTGGGTGTCTCGCTATTCTCACTCGATGAAACCAACAGAGAGCCGCGCTCTGGACTTGTTACTCTATCTGGGGATGCCCCATGAGCGGAAATACAGGGCATATCGATCCGCGAAAATTGAATTCGCGTGACCCCCTTGTAATCCCCGCAGGATGAAGCCGATCCTAATCACAGAAGCAAGATCCGGATCCGGAATCCGGAGTCTGATCATTATGCGGAGGATATCACTGTCAGAGCCCGATTTTCAGTAAACCGTGTATTCGTTGGGAGCGTGGGAATTTGTAGAAGAGACGGATGGGAGCACTTTGAATGTCCCAGTCGGGGCCCAGAGCTTCGTGACGAAACAATTCCGAATCACTCAGCGAGGGACGGGAGCGAAACGCTCTAGACGTCAGAAAGCCTCCTGACGGAAGAACCGAGAACAATTCATCGGGCTGGCGGCTGCCTGGTCTACATCGCCTGGTCTACATCGGGTCTACTACATATGATCCCACGATAATCCACTTTCTAGCACGTTTCTCGCTCGTCGGCCAGAGATTTCAACAGCTCAAGATCGCGCCGCCACGGAAAGGTGGGCGTCTCCAGAACCCGGCAAAGTAGCGCCTTCGCGCGGCGGCTAATGAATTTCTGTCTGTGACGGAGAGCGAAAACTTTTCCGCAAAAAGCTCCGAGAAACTTTGCCCTCTCTCGCATATCACGGAGGAGACGACGAGCGGCAAGGAGAAAAGCCCGCGTAGATTTCGCTCGGCTAGTCTGATTGTGGGCTCATCTAGTGGAGCTGCTGCTGCCGCAGGCGCCGCCGACGAAGCTGCCGCAACTACCAGTGGAGCCGCCTTTCAACGTTTTGCTGCAGCGTCGTCGTGGCAAAGAAAGAATGGAACTCGATAGAAACCCAAAGCTCTTCAGCCGATTTCCTTCATGTCACGAGCAGCCAGACCCTCGGTGCGTGCCTGTTCGCCCGGTCGAGTAGGTAGCTAACCAAGTTGGAGCCCGTGCATGGGAAAGAGCGAGCGAGAGTTCATTGTGGATGTTGTTGCCTCTACCGACCACCGTCGTCGCTGTAGTTGCAGTTGGCATCGGAGTCTTCCGTCGTCGTCGTCGACTTCTTCTTTGACCTCGATCTCGACGCCCTCAAATCCGAGCTTCCACCGTCTCTCTTATTAGTCGCTAATGAGCTATCTCAAACAGACCCGGAACGAGCTCGCTCGCTAAGATCACGATTCGACTCAGTCAGTTCTTGTTCTTCTGTCTCGTTTCCTATCGTTTTTGGAAGGAAGTCCCTGACGACTCCTGAAATTCCATCTGCTCACCTGGCACCTGCTAAGTCCTGCATCTGCTTGTGGTGGCCCGGCGACAGAACCGACCCCAAAGTGTTCGAGCTGGAAACGAAGAAAGGCAAAAATTAGAGCGAGCGAAATCGACAATGTCGCCGCATGGAATATCGTCGAGAACCTATTCTAGAGATTTAAAGTAGAATTCCGTTCCGTGCTCGGAGTAGGCTGAGCTCTCTCGGAGCGAGACCTGCGGCACCTCATCACAACAAAGGGATTCCACCACACCCAAGAGTCGCGCCGTTTGACGGTGGGTCCTCGGTCGGCCGCTACGAGATAATTTGGGCGAGAATCGGTTCGCCTCGATTCCCGGCTGGTGATCTGGCTCTTTTTTTCCTTCTTGCCCAAACTCATTCACTCCTCTTCCCCATTCTCTCGTCGTGTCACTCACGAAGATCACGCATTATTATGGCCTGGGGCGTTCATGGCACCTCCGCCTTCACCTCGGCCGATGTCACCACTTTTCTTGAAGGGCGGAGTTTGATTCGCGGTCTGCTTGCTTAGTCTCTCTCGAAGGTTGTTTAGTCGCACGGCTTGACAGTCCGGAGAAAAAAGTTCAACTTTGCTCCGACGAGTTTTATCCGCGCCCGGGACTTTGCGAGGAATTCGTGTTGATCTTCAAAAGTTAAATTGTATTCAAGGTTACGCTTCTCCCTCGGCATCCCTGTCTAGTTCTTCTCGAGGCGGCCGGCGGTCTTCGAAGTTTTCTCGTTCATCCACTCGTTGGATCGCTGACTCGCCTTTGCGGACGATGCATTAAGGCAATCGATATAGCTCCGGGCTTGGGAATTAATCCAACGGGGCAAGTTAGAGCATCGCTCATCGGAGCGTGTGTCGAAAGCTTGAGGTCTTGAACGTCGTCGAGGCCGTTAACGCCGTCTCTGCCGGTGCTCCGGCCCATCATCTTATTCAGCTTAGTACGACACATTCTGGATGAAGTTTGCCCCATCCGAGCGAGAGCACCGTCGAAGGAACAGACCGTGTGGCGCACAGAGTGACCGGTCGGCAGAGGTCCGTCCACTATCGAGTCCAGCACCTCCACCTCGGCTTTTTCTTCTATATCACGATCGCTGAGGATTCCCCGAAGTGAGACCGATGATGACGCGAAACGGCAACAAACATCGAGCGATCATAGCGTTTCCCCCGAATCGCTCATCGGGACTCCGCGTAATCAGAACGTCGGCAGGAAACGCGAATAGAAAGCCCTTATTCCTCTGTATTCGACCCTCGGCTCCCCGCTGACCATTTTCCCTCTGCCCATCGGTCGTCAGCTGAATAGGGGCCACTTCCCCCTTTGCCTTCTCTCTAAAAACTCTCTCGGTGGGAGCTCACTAACGAGTGACTACAGGACGGAGAGAACGAGAGTGCCGATTAGCCGCCCGCGCGCCCACCAGCCAACCCGTCCGGAGCACGAGGACGGCAGCGGTTTTTCTTTTGTTCCCTCCCGTATTCTGGCCCGCTCCTGAGTTTCTCGCGGCGTCTTCGTCCGAGGCGCAGCTCCGCCTCGCTCTCAGACTGAGCGGGCCGGGGCTGAAACGGGAATTCGGTTGGCGTCCCGCCAGCTGTGGACGTTGTTCTGTACTGGACGTCGTTGCTGATGTTGCTCTCCCCTAAGAGCGCTGGCGGCCCGGAGTCGTTTCTCGTCGAATCTCACGACGAACAAACGCGTTAATGCATAAAATAGCATCAGCCTTTCCGGTGATGCCTGCCGCCGCCGCCGCTGTTGCTGTTTTGGCAGAAGCGAAGCCCGTCGACGCTCCGGGGTTGATTTTCCGATCAGCGGTTCGCCTGTCAATCGGCTCGAGTCGTACGCACTCGTCGATCTCTACGTTCGCGCAGTCGAGCAATACTCGCGAATTTGATCCGAAACAGACGATGCTCCGAACTTTTCTGAACTTACGAGAGCAACCGGAAACGATCACCGACCGCTAACAGCAGCATCAGAGTGGGCGGTGGACGTCGGAAATGTCCATTCGCTGCCGTTGACATACGACAGATGGCTCGGTCTACTTCAGTATGTCGTCGACGAGGATGTTCGAAACCGGAGCTCCCGTTTGCGCTCCGAGCAGGAAATACTGAATCCGGAGTCAACGCGTGAACCCCCTGCTTTTTTCCGGGGACATTCGCGATGGATCGGGGACTCCGCAGTCCTTCCGGATTCCGTTTCTCTCTGATCCGTAGATAGAACCTTTCTCTCGGCTGTCGGATCATGGGTTGGATCGAATTAACGATTGCTCGCGATCGTGGAAGAGACACGGGAAAACTCCCCGCTCAAGAATCGAGAATTGCTAGCGGGATGAGGGGAATTTTCGCTTCTCAATCAGAGATCGAAGATATTCGCGAGCCCATCCGGGAAGGACTCGCCGCGTTTTCGGACTTGGCAGCCCCAGCTTTTGTTTTGATGTGCAACTCGGATCTCTCGGCCTTCCATGGTTCTTTTGCAGCCGACAATCGACCGGAGCACTCCGGGTCGCGAAGATTGATCGTAGGTACCTTCTTAAAAGGTCTGTCCGGATGCATTCTCCTGGAACGCCTTGTCGAGAAGAGGGAGAACGAATCGACTGGGCCACTGATTGCGTCGCTGTTGATTGTCTCGGGAGCAACGTTGTGCTGCGAGAGCAAAGAGCGCAGTTTTCCTCGGATATTCATTGCCCCTACACCTCACGAAGCCTCGTCGACTAGAAGTTATTTTTCCGCGCACAAGGTTTATCAACCGGGGGAAAAACTCGGTCTGACTACTCGAGCAACACCCTCATTCCTAGTCGGTAGTCGGTCTGTCCCGATGGCATCCCCTCCTTGGAGAATGAATTCGTAAAATTCTACTCCTTGAACCTCTGACTGCACGAATCGAATAAACTCCTGTAACCTGTTCCCGACGCTCTCCTCCGAACAGGTGTCCTTTGATGGAACCATTACGGAGAATAATTATCGTTTTCGGTTCCGACGTTATTGATGGAGATCACAACGGAGATTGAATTGAATCATCGGATTTCGGAGACGACGGAACGAACTCGCTCGATAGACCCTTCGGCTCTATCGGGGAATCGCACTCCGGTATCACACCTCTCGCCTCCCGCGCTGCCATCCCGCTTCTCTATTCTGTTCGGGCGTTCTCCCTTCACGGCTGCAGTCGTTTCCGAGGAGGAACACAGAAAGATGACAGGTTCGCAATCCTTCGACGGATCGACCGAGTCAAATCGACGACGGCATTCTGCAACTGCTTCCGCATTACCAGACCTAGCCCGGAGCATCGCCTCGTTTCGTCGACGTCGTTGCCGCTCCGAGGAACGATACCGGTTCGGCGAGCGAACAGGCAACGAGGGAACGAATTCGCGTTAGTCTCTCGTCCCCGGACTGGCAACATCTGTTTGAACTCTTTCGGCTCGGCTTAGTTTTTCCTTTCTCACTTCTTTGCTAGTTGGAACAGCGCGGACCTGTTCCTGTGCCAACAAGAGGTTATGTTTGCACGGGCGTTCGGGCTCGGAGCCGAGTCGGAGGGGCATGCGGGGAAAAACTTGGAAACGACGACGACAGCGACATCGACCAGAACGCCGACTCCCCCTCTGTTTCCGCGCCCTTTTCGGTCACCGAAGTGCCTCCTCAGTCCAAGTACAGACAGTTTTGTGAGCAGGTGCACGGAAGACTTCAGGGTGGGAAGGCGTTAGAAGGTCAACTGGTCGCTGACGGTGCCATCAAGGCCAATGTTGTGACTTTTCAGAAATGGTCTCCGCTTCGACGAGAACCACACCTACTCTTATGAATACCGCAACAGATAGCGGCGAAGGAGTGCCGAAGCACGAAAAATATTCACGTGTCGCACCGACTCACGACGAGTTCAGGCCGCGAGAACGCCCACGAGGAATTGGTCCGGATTGTCCCTTCGTCGGCCGCCGGACGGGTACGAAAGACGATCGTCACGTCGGCTTCGTGAAAAATCGATTCCGACTTTCTGCATGAAGCTTCCGATTCTGCATGCGCTGCGTGCCTATATCACTGGCGTGGCTCAAAGATGGGAAGCTTCGAGGGACGAGAAATGTACCCGAGCTACAATCCGCGATTTGTTGGCAATTATTTCACTTCTACCTATAAATGCCTCTTGGGTACCCCAGCCAGCGTGGGCCCTACGATGGAAGAGCCGTGCCCCGCTCGTGCAACGTCTTCGCCGAAACGGGACGACTGCCTTAGTACCCTCGGCTTCATCACCCATGAGAAATGTTTTCACTCGAGTTCCTGGACTTCGGGGCGGGTGAGCCCGGCAGAAACTGGTAATCGAATAGCTTCGTCTTCCGCTGACTTTCCGATACACCCATCCGCTTGGAGCTCAAGCGTCAGAGCGTCATCCAACGCTGGCGATGGAAACAACAGCTTTCCGCTTTTCTTTTCTGGGTCGATAGAAGTTTTTCAGCTGGCGAGGGATGACGCCCCCCAGGCGAACCCAGGAACCAGAGTGGCTAAGGATGGAACGAGAGAACGATGCGGGAACGAGCCAATACACCTCGCACATCCTCGCGATCGCTGGTCATACGACTGCGTCGTCTGAGTGAGCCTGATTGGATATCCTTCGCCCCGCGGTTGGATATCGCTCGAAGCGGGCAGAAGTCGACCTTCGCCGACTCGATCCGACAGAAGCGAATCCCTCATCTCCCATACGGCAACTCTAGCTAGTCAATGTGGCGAGAGTTTCTCACAAGCACCGACGGATGTTCCCGACATGCAAGTTCACCCGACTAGCGACTGAAAGCGCTAGTCGTCCTGTTAGCGGAGAAGGAACGAGACCTGCAGTGAGTCTTCGACAGGAAATCACTCGGAGTTTCGATTTGCCGGGACAAGTTGGGTGGCTAACTGGCAATCATTCCCCCTTTTTTTTTCGTTGTTGTGAGCGTCGACTACTCGCAACTAGAGACACGAGAGGGGCAGCGGTTGCGATCGCTGTAGTCGCTGCGGTAGCGACGGGGAAAAAGTTCAAGCACGGAGAAAGCTTCCGCTGACATGCTTCATCCAAACATTCTCTCCCTCCTCCACAACAATGAGGGCTCCTCTGGTGGGTG